ATCCCCCCCGACCCACTGGGGTATCAAAGTATCCCCCCGACCCACTGGGGTATCAAAGTATCCCCCGACCCACTGGGGTATCACAGTATCCCTCCGACCCACTGGGGTATCACAGTATCCCCCCCGACCCACTGGGGTATCACAGTATCCCTCCGACCCACTGGGGTATCACAGTATCCCCCCGACCCACTGGGGTATCACAGTATCCCTCCGACCCACTGGGGTATCACAGTATCCACACGTAAATGAACAAGTCTCAAACAGAAAACATGTCATCGTCTACATGGCTCAAGCACTCACTATTGCTTTAACTACACACAAAAGATTATTTAGATGTTGGTTTTGGCAATCTCTACAGTCTCTCTCTCTCTCATCCTCTTTAAGGTGACTGCTACCCGTGTCACTAAGGCACTATGCTCAAAGAACTAGAACAATTCACAAAAGCGCCCCCCCCCCCTTCCCACTGACTGACACAAGCATCATGTTCCCACTGAATGTATAGCCTGGCTTACGGAAGAGAAAGATAGAGAGAAGAAAATTTTCCCGTCCTTTTCTAGCATTCCTTAGCACCATTGTTCAGTGTGGAGTCACCTAAAACGTGAACATATTCAGATGTTACAAAATGATACTGGCTTACAAATTAGGACCTGACAAATAAATGTGACACTACGACACAATGTCCACACATGTGTCCCACACCAAGTACTACCTTTTCTACTACCTATCATTCAACCTGTAAGAACACAGTGCTACTGCGACACGGCATTATGACATCCACACGTACCTAGTGAAGGTCAGTCAAAAACCACACATTTCTTACACTCATTTTAAAAAAACAGAGACGTGGTTGAAAAGGTGTAATTAACATTTGACAAAACATCCAAAACTACGATGAAATATACTAAATGATACTAAATGCCATAAAAACCATTTTGGATTAGGTGGTACCACCACTTCTCTTAATTAGTTTTAGTTTTAGTAAGGTTTTACGGCGCTCGGAACTGCATATTTCTCATAACTAGTAGACAGGGACAGGACAGCTGTACTTTAGTAACGTCCACCACCAGACACAACGGCTTTGGTGTCCAACAATCACCAAACATCAGCACATTGGAGAAGAAAACAAGTTCCAACCAGTCAGATAAATTACAGCCAAACAAACATTTTTAAGCGAGTCAAACCCTCCATCTTGTTCACCATAGACCCCCCCCCCCCTGAATCAAATACAACATCTACACACACAACTCTACAGCAAGAACAAATTAACAAATTATCATACAGACGGAGATTGCGGGATTAAGTTCAGTTGATGAATTAGTTAGTAGTTCTTGTTCTGAGGTTTTGAAATTATGATAGAAACATTTTGACTGAGGAATAACTTTTCTTACAGGACACCAGGCTAGAGGGCCTGAGGAGGAATCTAACTGAGAGGTTCTCTGACAATCATTTCATCATGAGAGGCATAAACTGTAACTGCCTTTGTTTTAATCAACTTTGCCTCTGAGACATTACAAGTTATGGGGAAAAAATCCATCATTTTCTTTGATTGAACTATTAATACAATAGCTCTGTAGAAAAGCCAAAACTCAAAACATTGCTGTACAGCACAAGATGCGAGCAGGGGGCAGCTAAAATAAAAACTCCTACCTCTACTTGCCAGAGTCCATGAACAAATATGTTTGCAGCTACATCTATGAATCATTAGTACCTGGAGATATTTTTTTATGGCAGAAAAGGAAAAAAAAAAACAGGAAAAGAAAAAATCTGTTTGGACAGCTCAAGGTGACAGACTACTGCCAAAACAAAAAGATTGACAGACGACTGCCAAAACAAAAAGATTGACAGACTACTGCCAAAACAAAAAGATTGACAGACTACTGCCAAAACAAAAAGATTGACAGACTACTGCCAAAACAAAAAGATTGACAGACGACTGCCAAAACAAAAAGATTGACAGACGACTGCCAAAACAAAAAGATTGACAGACGACTGCCAAAACAAAAAGATTGACAGACTACTGCCAAAACAAAAAGATTGACAGGCTACTGCCAAAACAAAAAGATTGACAGACGACTGCCAAAACAAAAAGATTGACAGACTACTGCCAAAACAAAAAGATTGACAGACTACTGCCAAAACAAAAAGATTGACAGACGACTGCCAAAACAAAAAGATTGACAGACGACTGCCAAAACAAAAAGATTGACAGACGACTGCCAAACCAAAAAGATTGACAAACAAAATGATAAATGTTATGTAAGACCAAAATCGACATAGACTACGGCCACTTGCTCTATGGAACTACGGCCACTTGCCCTATG